ATAAAACTACTATTAAAAAAGCTAAAGATAAGATTTACACAGAATCAATCCTGGGTAGTTAATAGAGACTGGATGGGTGGGAGAGGGGAGTAAAAACTACTAAAGTTGAATGTTGGCAAAGTCAATTTATAATGAGGAACTCACTAGGCATTTTAATCAACTGTAATTAACGTTATAAAACAAAATATCTAGAAATGACTGAATGAAAAACTAATGTGTAACTTTTGCTTAAATAAAGAAAAGGGAAAAATAATACGAAGCTGCACCTGACCCAAACCACAGTATTTTTAATTGCTTGGTATGGATGTGCTGAAGTTGCTGTTGAGTCACCTATGACTCACAGTGACCCTATGTACTATATCCTGTGCCAATCTTATTGTCTCTGACACTTCTACCCCCATTACCCCAGTCACTAAATCAATCCATCTCATAGAGGGTCTTCCTCTCCTGTGCTTTCCTACCACCCTCCCAAGAATGACATCCCTCCTTGCAACATGTCAAAAGTATGTTAGACAAAGCTTCAGAATCCTTGACTCCAAGGAGCAGCCTGGTCTCACCCTCTCTAAGACAAACCTGTTTGTTCTCCTAGCCATTCATGGTATATTCAATAATCTTCTCCAGCACCACAACTCAAAGGCATCAATTCTCCTTCTATCATCCCTAGTCACTGTTCAACTTTCTGATGCATAGCAAGTAATTACAAAGACCATGGACTGGATCAGGTGTACCTTAGTCTCCATACTGACACTGTTGCTCTTCAGTACTTTGGAGAGGTCTCTGACAGCACACTTTCCCCAATGCAATTAGTCTTTTAATTTCCTGTCTGCTGGTACCAACAGTGTTGATTGTGGAGCCAATCAAACTAAGCTGTTAACAATCTCAATCTCTACCATCTATCACGATGCTGACAATTGTCCCAGTGATGAGAATCTTTGTTTTCTTGATGCTGAGCTTCAATTCATATTGAAGGCTGCAAACCTTGACCTTTAGCAGTAAGTGCTTCAGGTCCTCCTCAGTTTCAGCAATCACCAAGCAGGGTTGTGTCATCGGCATCATGCAGATTTTTGTTGATGAGTCTTCCTCCCATCCTGATGCCACATTTCCCCTCATAGAGCCCAGCCACCCAGATAATCTGTTCTGCATATAGACTGAAATGGTTTGGAGATAGGATATAACCCTGGTTCCCAATTTTGAACCATGCAGTGTTTTTTTGCACTGTTCTGACGACTACTTTGTGATCCAAGTATAGGTTTCGCATAAGTACCATCAAGTGTTCTGGGGTTCCCATTCTTCTCAGAGTCAGCCTCAGTTTGTTGTGATCTACATAATCAAATGCCTTTTCATGGTCAAATGAAACATAGATAGACTTTCCTCTGAAACTCCCTGCTTTCAGCCAAGATCTATCTAACATTAACTATAATATCCCTATAATATACCACAGCCTCTCCTAAACCCACCCTGCATTTCAGGCAGTTCTCTGTTGATGTGCTGTTCCAGTCGGGTTTTTTTGGGATAATTTGCAGCAGAATCTTGCTTGCATGTGGTATTAATGATGTTACTGTTGTTATGTGCCGCTGAGTTGCTTTTGACTCACAGCGACCCTAAACAGCCCTAAACCATGCTGTGCCAGTCTCACTGTCTCTGACACACCTCCCCCCATTACCCCAGTCACTGAATTAATCCACCTCATAGAGGGGCTTCCTCTCCTGAGCTGTCCCTCTACCCTCCCAAGCACGATATCCTTCTCTAAGGACTGAGCCCTCCTTGCAACATGTACAAAGTATGTCAGATGAAGCTTCAGAATCCTTACCTCCTAGAAGCAGCCTGGTTTAATCCTCTCCAGGATGAACCTGGTAGTTTCTTAGCAGTCCATGGTATATTCAATACTCTTCTCCAGCACCACAGCTCAAAGGCATCAATTTTCCTTCTATCCTCCCTAGTTATTGTCCAGCTCTCTGATGCATAGCAAGTGACTGCAAAGACCATGGCCTGTATCAGGTGCACCTTAGTCTCAAGAGTGATACCATTGCTCTTCAGTACTTTGGAGAGGTCCCTAACAGCAGACTTTCCCATGGCAATGCGCCTTTTAATTTCCTGGCTACTGGTGCCAAGAGTGTTGACTGTGGAGCCAAGCAAACTAAAGCTGTGTACAATCTCAATCTCTTCACCATCCATCCTGATGCTGCCAGTTGGTCCAGTGGTGAGAATCTTTGTCTTCTTGACATTGAGCCTCCATCCATATTGTAGGCTGCAGTCCTTGACCTTCAGGTCCTCCTCAGTTTCAGCAAACAGGGTTTTACCAATCCTGATGCCACACTTCTCCTCATACAGCCCAGCCTCCCAGATAATATGTTCTGCATATAGCTGAAAGGTTTGGAGATAGGACACATCTCTGTCGTACACCCTTCCCAATTTTGAACCAAGCAGTGTTTCCTTGCACTGTTCTGACAACTGTCTTGTGGTCCAAGTACAGGTTTCGTATAAGCACAATCAAGTGTTCTGGAATTCCGATTCTTCTCAGAGTCAGCCCCAGTTTGTTGTGATCTACAGACAAATGTCATTTCATGGTCAATGAAACAGATACACATTCCTCTGGTACTCCCTACTTTCAGCCAAGATCCATCTAACACTAGCTACAATTAACTGACTGGAAGAGATCTATATTTGTTTCCAATTCCAAAGAAAGGTGACCCAACAGAGTGTGGAAACTATAGAACAATTTCATTGATTTCACATGCAAGCAAGATTCTCCTCAAGATTATACAAAAACGACTGGAACAGCACATCAACAGAGAAATGCCAGAAGTGCAGGCTGGCTTTAGAAGAAGTGGTGGTACTAGGGATATTGTAGCTAATGTTAGATGGCTATTAATGATACTGTTTGATAATTTCCGCACTCTGTCAGGTCATCTTTCTTCAGAATGGAAAGAAATGTAGATCTCTTCCAGTCAGTTGGCCAGGTGGTTGTCCTCCAGATTTCTTGGCACAACTTGGTGAGCATATCCAGGCAGAGTCTGTTTGCTGAAATACATCAGCCAGTATGCTGTCAATTCCTGAGGCCTTGTTTTCTGCCAATTCTTTCAGAGCTGAAGTTGGACAATAAATAGATAAGGGGAAATCTAGGAGAAAGTGATGCCTTAGAATTGTGGTGCTGGCAGAGTGCTAAACATATCATGCAAAGGCAGAAAAAAAGCAAGTCTGGCTTGGAAGAAGTGAAGCCAGAGTACTCCTTTGAGACTTTATCTCACACACTTTGGGTATGTAACCAAGAGAGGTTCATCCTTAGGAAGGATATCATACTGGGAAAAGCACAAGGTCAACAAAGCAGAGGAAGACCTACAATAAGATGGTCTTCTGACAAAGTGAGTGCAACTCACTGTGTGTGCTTGAGCACAGAGATAAAGAACTGGGCAGAGTTTTGATCAATTGTTCACAGGGTTACTATGAGTCAGAACCAATTCAGCAGCACCTTATAGTTGTTGGCACTTTGTGGTAAGAATGAAGGTTCATAGTACAGATGATGTTCATCAGAAATATAAAAATCAGTGGACTATGGGCACTGGCGGGAGGAGTGGTCCTCAGCTGGGGAAATGGGGAGTCAAGGGGGCAGCTGCCACTCCTCCCACAGCATCAGCCTCCTGCCAGTACAGGTGCATCGAGTGCAATGAAGAAGCCAAGGAGCTGTACTGTAGACAAATATATCGAGTATGATCCTGTTATCATCTTAATTAATGCAATTTTATGCAAAGCCCAGGCCTACAGACATATTCCTTTCAATACTAAAATAAATATCCATGGAAAACTGTGCATCTTTTGTTTGCTCTGTGAGGCATACCTGAGGTAGTGGCAGCTTCAGGACTTGAACCAGAACACTGGCCCTGATGATTCGATCAAATACACTAAAGAGTGGGATTTCTACAGAAAGTTTGCAATTGCTTCTTTAGAACAAACTGCCTTTTTTATTTGCATTTTTACCTTTTTCTGGGTTAAATAACCAATGACAGTGGAAAAAAAGCCCAACTTCCTTTTACTGCTAAAAGCATTATTACTGGATAGCTACGGAAAACTCCTGCTGATTCCAGCTGTCATTTGGGAACATGACTACACACTGCTGTGCCTCAAACTCATCAACGTGTTTGTCCTTACATCAAACTTTCAGGCAATTAGAGTGACACCAGCCGAAAGCTGTCCTAGTTGGCCATCCTGAGCAGATTACTTTCTGGAGAGTGCCATGATTTACCTCTTCCAAAGGATGGAGTGGGACATTGGCAGTGACTGCACCATCAATAAATCTCAGGACCTGTGAAGAGTCTTATTCTTCACCATTTATCATTTGACCAACTGCATCTGAAAAGAAAATACCTGACATCCAAACTGAGCTGCTTTTTTCTGTTGAGTGATATGGAGCAAAAGATCTGGAAAGTTTCCCAAAACAAAAACAGTGATTGTGGTGTGGGAAATCCCCGTGCTCTGTCCCATCCAACCGTACACTCTCCAAACAACTAAAGCACATACATAAACACAGATGCATAGAGATCCCACACAAGCAGAAGGATATTCTACAGAAGCTGCTACATGCAATAGTAAGAAAAAGCCTATTCATTAGAGACACAGCAGATAAGCATTTAAATTTCCAGAGATTTGAGTTAATGATTCACCTATAAGAAAATATCTATGTTTCATAACATGTTTATACATTCTTAATTTAAATGTCATTTTACTGGCAGTATACATTTAGAAGAATAATATATTTCATTTTTATAATAACTTTGAATAAAGATTTTCAAAATAAAAAAAAGAAATACAAAAATCTAGAAGTTTTTGTGCAATGAGAATGAAGCCCTCTTGTACTTATTAAGAAGGCTAATTTTATAAATCCAGAAACCAATCAACCCTAAATCCTAATTCTATATAACAAGGCTTTCAAAATGCATCTATACATTTTCTCCCACAGCTATCAATACTTATTTTTGTCAGCTATTACAAACCAGCCAGCATACCTGCTTGGAAGGTAGGATTTGCTCCAGGGTACATGTTAGGAGAATAGGCAGGAGCTGCTGCATAGCCCATCGGGAAACCAGCTGAACAAAAAAAGAAACAAACTTGATGTCATGTAACAAAATAGTAACATGATTTTACAATCAGGGTTCTTGAAAGTCCATTTACTTTTACCTTTTTCATCTCTACTTAAAAGCAACTAAAGAAGACTTTTTTGCCCTATTTAGGGCAACTCCAATGTGAAATGAAGTCTGCACTACTGTTGTTCCAAATGAGAAGGACATCAAGTAGGTGATCCAAAATGACACACTGAAGTTTAACCTTGCAAATCCTCCACCTATTCCTATCTCTTAGAACAACAGTCTATCAGATTTCTCACAGACCCCTTTTCAGGGGGAAGCAGCCAGAGAGTTGCTGCCCAGCTTTACAAGAATTGGAAGCCCATAAATTAATTAGAGGGGGACATGTAACCAACAAATAAGATTACAGAAAATTAACCTTTTACAATAACTTATAATAATGTGGCACTAATATTTTATAATGTCTCAGGCAAAAAGACTTTCCTTTTCAACTAGTGGATACAAAAGTAGGGGGCTCTGGTAGCCTAGTCGTGAAGACCTGCTGCCAACAAAGGCACACATTCAAATCCACAGAAGAAGGTGGGCAATCTCCTCTCATGCAATTTACTGATTCTGAAAACCAACCAGAGGAGCTATACATCAAGTCTGACTCTACAGCACTGAAAATTAACAATCTTTTGTAGCGCCCTGTGCTGAATGAAAGACTAACACTCTATAAAAGCTTAAGCCAAAAAAGTCTTTCCCTTAACTCAGTGGTATATTGTTAGAGTTCTGATGAAACTAAAATTCCTCTAAATTCTTCTTTAAGTCTTTTTGTGTGTCTTTTCTGCTTGCCCCCAGCAATTTACAACTAACCCCCTTTTCGCATTGCCTTTTCCGTTCTGCAATTTATCTCCACAAGCCAAGTTTCCTTTTTAATTGCTTTTTCCTTTCTACTCCAGAAAGTTTCCTTCAAAAGTTAAATGATAATGACAGCATCAATCATGCTATATCCCCAATCAGAACAGTGAATTTCCCACAACATACAGATGTCACCAACTACCTTCATAATATTGGTAAGACCTGATCAATTTGTCCAAGGCTTAAGTACTGACCAGAGGACATGGACAAGAGAAAATGCTGTAAAAAAATTCTTCACATCCTATTTTCTGTATCTCCAAGCTGGGGAGACAGATAAGGGAAACCCACATCACCTGTTTTCTTACATTGTTGTCACTGTTGTGTACCATCGAGTCAGAACCAACCCATAGCTGATCCTCCAGCAGGTTTTCAGAGGCAATTAACTGCATGGGAGGAAATTGTTCATCCTTCTCCCAAGGAGCAACTGGTGGCCTCGAACTGCATGTCTTTGGGATTGCAGTGCAGCTTCTTGCCACTTACATACTGGCATATTAAAAGTTTGCTGCTTCATTACTCCTGCTTCTGAGATTATTTTTCAAGTAGCATTGTGATCGCAATATTAAATGCTGTCTCATTCAATATCTGCTCTCTTTTTCTGACAATAGAGGTTCACTCACTCATTGCTACTGTTCAGTGCTGTCGAGTACAACTCATAGTGACACTGTGAACAAATCTGAACCCTGTCCTAGTTTGTGGCATCTTAACCATCTCTGACATAGCCCACTGCAGCAATGCATCAATCCATCTGAAAAAAGAGTATTCCTCTCCTTTGCAGACCCTTCACCTTTCCACGCATGATGTCCCTTTACAAGTAAGAGCAGCTCCTAACAACATGCTCAAAGTATTTGAAAACGATGCTTTCCCATCCTTGTCTCCAAGGTGCTCTTTGGCTGCACTTTTCTCTAAGAGATATCTGTATTTGTTCATTCTTTTTGCAGCCCATGGGATACTCAGTATTCTTCTCCAACACTACAACTCATAAGACATCAATTCTTTTCCCGTCATCTTTATTCACTGTCCAGTTTTCAGATGCATAGCAAGTGACTGAAAAGACCATAGCCTCAATCAGGCACACCTTTAAAATGGTATCATTGCTTCTTAGTATTTTATAAAGGTCCATGACAGCAGACATTCCCCATGCAATACGTGTTCTGATTCTTCCCTGCTGGTATCAAGGATGTTGACTGCAAATCCAAGTAAAAAGAAACTGTTGGCAATTTCAGTCTTTTCTCCATCTATCATGACACAGTCTATCATTTAGTGGTGAGGATTTTTGTCTTAATATTGAGATAGAACCTAGACTGAAGGTTGTAGTGTTTGATTTTCTGGAGCAACTATTTCAAGTCCTCCTCAGTTTCAGCAAGCATGGTGTGTTATCTGTATAACCCAAGTTGCTGATGAGACATCCTCCAATCCTGATGCCTCATTCTTCTTCATAATGTCTTGTTTCTCAAATGATCTGCTCAATACAGACTGAATAGGTATGGAAAAAGGATTTAACCCTGAGGCACATCTGTCTTGATTTTAAACCTTATAATGTTCCCTTGCTTTATTTGTACAACAGCTTCTTGGTCTAGGTTTCGCAGGAGCATAATTAAGTGATCTAGGATTCCCATTATCCTCAATGTTAGCCATAATTTGTTATAACCCATACAAATGTCTTTGCAAAGTCAATAAGGGATAAATAGACATTCTTCTGGTATTCTCTTGCTTTCAGCCAAGACTAACTCAGCAGTGATATGTATGCTGCCGCAGCCTCTTCTAAAATCAGCTTGAACCTCAGTCAGTTCCTTGTCAATGTACTGTTCTAGCCATTTTTTTATGATCCTCAGCAATATTTCGCTTATATATGATGTTAATGATAGTGTCCAATAATTACCACATTTTATTGGATCACCTTTCTTAAGAATGGAAATAAATATGGATTTCTTTCAGGCAGTTTGTCAGGTAGCAGTCTTCCATATTTGTCTCCATACCTTTTCAATCTGTATGCAGAACAGATCATCCAAGATGCTGGGCTGTACGATGAGGAATGTGGCATCAGGATTGGTGGAATAATCATCAACAACCTGAGTTATGCAGATTACACAACCTTGCTTGCTGAAACTGAAGAGGACCTGAAGTGCTTGCTGCAGAAGGTCAAGGACTGCGGTCTTCCATATGGATTGAACCTCAACATCAAGAAGACAAAGATTCTCACC